CTTTAAAGCTTACTTATATATTATTCTTCAAAATAGTAAGCTTAAAGTAGTTTTAAAGGCTAGTAAAAAGATCTTCTTACTGATATAGTAAGTATAGTTATATGCTAAGGCTAAGATTATATTATTATACTTATACTTTAATAGTAAAAAGTAGATAATATTAAGTAGCTATAATAAGTATAATAAGTATAGAGGCATATAGAGAAAGATAATATTCTTCTCTTTATAGAGATCTTAGAATTCTCTAAAGATATAGCTTTTATAGCTATTAACTATAAGTAATCTAAACTTACTTATACTATATAGCTTTAAATACTTATTAAAGTACTCTAGCTAAGTAAGTACTAGCTAATTATTTATCTAGCTATTAGAGCTTACTTTAAAGATTTAATTAAATAGTAGATTCTTAAACTAGATATTAATAAGAACTTTACTTATTAAGATAATAAAAAGTAGTATTTAGTAACTTAATATGCATATACCTTAGATAATAGAAACTTACTTCTAGTTACTTAGCTATATTCTCTTCTACTTATTATATTCTTCTAAGCTTATAATAACTAGCTATAATAATATCTTACTTATTATAAACTTAGTCTTATTAAAGTTAAATATATTATTATCTAGAATACTATATTTCTCTTAAGTTATCTTTACTAGCTTAAACTAGCTCTAGATAGCTACTAGGTTCTTATAGATAGCTTACTAATAATTATAGAAATAGCTTTAGCATGCTTTTAGCTTAGATATATACTTAATAAAGTTATTAACTTAGTTCTTACTAGCAGAGTTACTACTCTACTCTTAAAGTAGTCTATCTACTATTACTTATATATTAGCCTTTATAAGTATAAATTCTCTTATAGACTTCTTAAGAATATATTAAACTATTACTTCTTTTTATAGCTTATCTAGATATCTTAAGTTTAGCTTATAGTTACGTTATAAGCGTTTCTTAGCGCATTAGTAATAGATAGTTATTTAAGAAATACTATAAATTACTATAGCATATCTTTTACTTTATATTTACTTAGATATAATATCTTAGATAGTAAGCTATATATTTACTTAAGTATAAGTCTTTTAAGTTTAGTATTATTAAGATATTTTGCATTAGCGCTACGTAGTTAGTTTAGTTATATTAAGTAAGCTACTTACTTAGATAAGCTACTTACTTATAAACTATGTTATATCTAAGTATTCTCTTAATATATTATTAATAAGTTCTTAATATATAGCTAGTGCGTTAGTAAGGCTAAAGAGTATAACTAAGTATTTAAAATATCTATATCTTATTCTAAATACTATCTTTTATTCTTTACTTTTCTTTATGCATATAAAGTTATATACTTCTCTTAGATCTAATATAGTAAAGATCTCTATATATAATAATTAATTCTATAATTCTCTAATATTAAGTAAAGAGTATTAGTTCTTAATTATTATATTATTAAGTTATCTATAGTTAATATATAGTTATAGCTTTCTATTTTTCTTTAGAATAAATAGAATAGAGAATCTTACTAGTAATTTACTATATTATATAAATTCTTTTTTAAGTATTATATTAATATATTCTTATAACGTATTTAGTTCTTTCTATAATATCTTATAGATTAGTTAGAAACTTAGCATCTTACTTTCTTTAAGCTTAATCTTATAGTCTTATTTCTTATAATTAAGTAGAGCTTTAATCTTTAGCTTTTCTTTAAATAGTTTCTAGAACTCTCTATATTCTAAAGATATTATAGAAGTTATATATTTTTCTAAAACCTTTAATTTTTTATATTAATTAAGATAATATCTTCTTTATAAGACTTCTTATAAAGAGATATTATTAATTATCTTCTTATCTGCTATTAAACGCTACTAATATATAAGCTTTAGTCTAGAGATACTTTTCTAGTCTGCAAATAAGAGTATCTAGTTAACTTAATCTATCTAAGAGTTACTCTTATGTAACTATAAAAAACTTAGTATAATATTATAAGTAGCTAAGCTAAAAATATCTAGGTTAACTTTCTATTATTTATCTTAAATATAGAGTATTATTAAGACTTTATATCTAATAACTAATTCTCTTAGTATTTATTATCTATTTGCAATATAAAGTAAATAGAATTATTCTTTCTAGAAGAGATAAAGCTCTGCTCTTATTATAGCTTATCTAGAGATATAATTTAACTATAATTCTAAATCTAATGATATATTTATCTATATTCTATTTATAACTACTAAGAGTTTAATAAGTCTACTTAAATTAGTAGCATTCTAACTTCTAAGCTAATCTTTAGAGCTAAGCATTATCTTAAAAAAGACTCTTATATATTTTTCTCTTTATTAAACTCTTTAAGTCCCGTCATTGTTATATTACTATATATTTTTATAGCACTAAGACTAAGATATCT